TTGCTTTCTTTCTTTTCTTTCTTTTAAAAAGAACCAGACATAGCTGAGTCATTATTAGCTCTTCAGGTCAGAGGGGAATCTTAAACTATAAACTCTGTGCTTAAAATCTGGTTCCCCGAGCTGCTCAGTGCCCTCACATCTTATACTTTGTTGCCCATCAGAAAAAGTACCAGTGAATGGATAGCTAAAAAGCACCTTGTTTTTGTATAGCTTGTTAAACTGGTTCTGAAAAGCAGCAAGATACGGTTGTTTGGAAACTTTCATTCAAACAAATGTGAATAGGATTTTTTTCTGTCTCGTTTCGGAGCCTGTCACTAGGACAATGAGAGATGCTCAGTTGCTTCCTGACTGCTCTCTAAGTTTGAAGTTCATTTGCTTGCCAAGAACAGAAAATATGGAACACATTTTTTAAATTAAGTTTTTTGAACTTATTCACAAATCAAGATGTGGTGGTGAATTTTTCAATTTATATAACATTTTGCTTGGGAAAGGCAGGCTATTGAACACAATAATGTGCAATTCACAGGTATAAAGCAACTGGAAATCACTGTAGGAGGAGGGGAGGATATCTTAAAACTAAGCATATGGCGAACTAAGTTGATTATGTACTTCATATTCGCCCCTTTCCTCTCGCCAAAAAGTAAGGGCCAAGAGTTTATGTGGGGAAAATCCTGATTTTTAATGCTGATACTTTATGATTTCCCAAATGAGTAGTTAAAAAAAAAATGAGATGATCCTGAAATAGCTCCTACCATTAGCTAAAGTATTAGTCTTCCCCTTTTCCCATTTAAGACTCAGATGACATTTTCTAAGAAATAATTTCCCAGAATATTTATTTGGAGTTGTATTCCCTTATTAGTGTCCTCAAATTAATGTGCAACCCTTCCAGGGTGATGAACCAACCTGTCAGCCTTGGAGTAATGTGTTAGGACAGCACTCAGAGCTGTCCACACCTGTGTCTCACTTCATTCCCCGAAATGCCTTCACTTCATTCCCCGAAAGACTTCATGAGCAACCAAAATCACAAATCATAGCAGCAGTATAACAGTGCCTCTGGGAGATATGGGCCCTTCGCCCACTGTTCACAGTGGAGCAAAGCCAAGCTGCAGATAATCCTTGTCTGTGTTTTTCCTTCCTTAGTTGGCCATTTTGAGAAAGAAAATTCAATGCCCAAGCTCTTATTAGTTTCGCCATAAATTTAGAGCTTCAGTTTTGAGCAAAATGGAAAGTAGATGAATGTACTTCCCTCCTTGACCTGTGACATCAGGAGAGCCCCACTTGGTGAACATGTCAGCCTTGAACCTGACTTTAGGGGTGGGGAGAGGCTTCCCTACTGCCGTGTGTGAAGACTGCAGTGTGGGTACTTCCTGATGCACCGCACATTCCATTTCTTGTATTATGGGCATCTCAAAATGTTTTCGTACCTTGGAGCATGACTACTTCTTTTAAACTAAAATGGCCTAAAGATTCTGTGTAGTATTCATTTCTGGACAAAAATAAAATTGTGTGGGATGCATTATTTTAAAGGAAATGAAATGCTGTTTTAATATTTTGTACAAGCAGAGGGGTAAGCACTTTGTATAGTACACATGATAAATTTTGGTCTTGGTCTTCTGGGGAACCAGGAGTATAATACTAATTTCCTCTGTTATATATATATATACTGCCTCTCACTCACCTAGCTTGCTTTTCATTAATGTGATCTGATTTTTAACTTTTGACATTTTTGCCTCCTTTGGGTGTTTGTTTTCTGGTTTCTAGAATAGGGAAAAGACTTTAGTTACAGAAATAGAAATCCTCATCTATCTACTTTTTCAACTTTCTAATAAATATCTGTCTTCCTAGTGGGTATATTCTCCTCCTCCTCCCTTAACCTTCCCCCCTCCATTTCCCCTCATGTCCCACTTTGAACGTGTCCACCTTGCTGAATCTGTGAAGACACCCAGCCTTCAGCATGCTCACCCAGTTTCCTCAGTTATGCCTACATTTTTGATCATTGCCTCTCCTGTGCTTCTTAATCGCCTCTCTCTCTCTCTCTCTGGATCTGAATCAGCCTGCCTAGCTCTGAAAGCCAGTAGGCACTTCGTGTAACTGGGAAAGGCCAGGAGCTCAGGAGGGCTGCTGCTTCTGCAGCTGCGGCCCAGGAAGGAAGAAGCGGGTTGACTCCAATTCCTTAAAACAATCTCTACTATACATTTCCTTTCTAGATATTAACTTGTCAATTATTCATAGCTGAAACTCATACTGTACTACTTTATTATCTTTTCCCTTGTCCTGTCATAGTTAATGTTTGCTACTAAGTCTGTAGATCAGTGATTCTCAAAGTGTGGCCCTTGGGCCAGAAGCATTTGTATCTCCTGGGATCTTTGGGTTTTTGTTTTCTGATTTCTAGAATAGGGACGAGGCATTTAGTTACAGAAATAGGAATCCTCATCTATCTACTTTTTCAACTTTCTAGTAAATATCTGTCTTCCTAGTGGGTTTGTTCTCCTCCTCCTCCCTTCGCCTTCATTCCCCCGCTTTCCCCTTTCTCCATCTGTCCCCTCCCACTCTTTCTTCTTCCCTCCTCCTTCTCATACCTTCCTCTTCTTCCTCCTCTGAGCTAGAATTATATGTTTAGTAGTCAGAAAAGAGTTGACCATAATGACAGATGGTTCACTGTGAGCGAGTCCTTGTTACTGCCCCATGAAATGCCAGTTACCACCAACTCAGTGAGAAGTGGTATTCCAAAATTCTTTCATTCAGTTTTGGAAATGTATTTTCCCATAGAAACAATGTAAACGGTGATGAAGTGCTCAGTCTGACTGCCAAAGGCAGTTTACTCTGGAAAATGAATGAATTATAGCATTAGTAAAACTGGCCTGAGCTCAGAGTCCCTGGAGCTGGGGCCAGGCACTACAGGTGCAGGGCATGGATCTGAACAGTCTGCCTGAGCTATCACGTCACCTCCCTCTGTTGAAGCGCCCTCTCCTCAGCTTCTCAGAGCCTTTACGAAGCCCAGATCAGGAGCCCTTAACAGGCTACATGCTCCAACATTCCCAGGCTCTCTTCTCCCATCAAGATCTCCCTTCCCGAATGTTGATGAGATAAGCACTTAACATTAACGGTGTTTCTGTTTCAAATTGAAGTTGAGTGGCAGAGGGCAGTGGCTGAGGAGCACATAAATGAGTGAGTGTACTTCATTAGAAATGTTTTAGTCCTTGGGTGATGATTTCACAGACATTTATTACACAATTATATGTTATAACTTACATATGTCACATATATACTCTTAAATGGCTCAAATATTATATTAGAAAAATTATAATTTTTTAAAAAGTAGAAGTGATTGTGGCCAGAACCAAAATGTCATATTTCATTGGAAAGGCAGACATATAGTAAAATGTGAAGATGCAGATCTGAAAAGCCATTATTCCCAACTGTTTTGAATATGAAAATCATCTTTTAGTATCAAAAAATTTTGTGGACCACCCCATATAATCTTTTAGTTTTCATTGACTGAGAAAATACATATTGAAACAAAGATAAATACTTATAAATATGGATCATAACGTATACATATATTTGAAAAACAATAAATGTGTAGTTTTTTTTTTCCCTGTGGGTACTAAAAGTGTTTAAAAATAAGACAAACTAATTTAAGAAAGTGGATATTTGGGCAAAACGTGTTCTGACTGAAGGAAGTCTAGACAGTAGTAACCCATCCGAGTCAGCTCTCAGAGACAGTTCTTCTGTCCCCGATTTGCCATATCTTCTTCCCTTTTTTTAGTTTCAAAACTAAGGTGCCCCTGTTTTTCAAAACAAAACAGTCTCCCCATGGCTGCTTTAGTTGAAATCCCAGTAGGGGCTGGCGCAATGGAGTATTTTGGCTTGTTGTTATTGTCAATAGTGTTGGAGTAGGGTGTTACAAATCAAGTATTTCTAAATGAGCACAGCTTGTTCATATATTATGGGTCCTCACTGAGTTGACCTGAAAACCATGTTTAAAACTAGTAGAAGAAATCCAAAGACAGGTCTTTTGGATTTTTCTCTCTCTCTTTGGATTTCTTCACCTTAGTACTCCATTTTCATTCTATTTAAAAATTATCCCCTCTGTGTCTTAAAATTGATTATTTCTCAGCCTTTATTACGATGCCCATTTTTATCCATCATGGAAATGCCACAGATTGAGGGAGGAACGGCTTACATGGCCTCGACGGTCTGAATCTGAGGATTTCTGGTCCCAGAGAGTTTCTCTAGATCTCTTTCTCTATCTCTAATGACCATTCTGTTTTGGAAATGTGTATTTGCTTTAATGACCTGTGGTATATTCTTACTTAAAAAAAAGTAACCCAAAAAAGCTTTTCTCCAAGCTGTATTAGGGAGCTCTCTCTCTCTCTCTCTCTCTCTCTCTCTCTCTCTCTCTCTCTCTCTCTCTCTCTCTCTCTCTCTCTGTGTGTGTGTGTGTGTGTGTGTGTGTGTGTGTGCGTGTGTGTTTAATGAGTTAAAAAATGAATTACAGATTTTATTGTATTCTATTCTCTTCTGTTTTGGTTCTTAAGTCTAACTTATCATTTTCTCTTTTAAGCCAAAGCACTACACCAACCTTATGGGATTCCTTAGAAGAACCTGATATTCGGGATCCTAGTGAATTTGAGTATTTATTCTCCAAAGACACAACTCAGCAGAAGAAAAAACCTCTGTCAGAGACTTATGAGAAAAAAAGCAAGGTCAAAAAGGTATTGAGTGATTATAGTAATCATTGTAATTATATATATTTTTTGTCATTCATGGGAATTCATTATGTGCTGCTGATTTGCCTTCCCTCTGTTTTTGAAAAAATGTTTTGGAAGGTTTTGAGTCACAGATGACAAAAAGGAGCCAATAGTTTGAGAATCTGTGCTTGCCTTTGTGGTCCTATCATCTGAATTTTCAAACTATTTTCTTAATTTAATCTGGAGTTTTTTCAGCCATTAATTCTATTGAAAAAATGGCTATTTAAATTTAATTAATAAAATTAATATAAAATAAAAAATTCAGTGTCACTAACCACTTTTCAGTTTTGTTCTGTGACTGGTACTACCGTATAGCACAGATATAACACATTCCTGTCATTACAGAAAGTTCTATTGGCTAGTACTGTTTAAGTATCTAGGATATTTTGGTGAAAAAAAAACAAACAAACGAAAAACAAAAAACCCAAAACCCAAAGATTCTTGTCCTGTGGAGCTTAGATTAACAATCAACATTAAAAACAAAACTTAAATCATGTGATAGGGCAGGTAAGGAGGATCAGCTCTGGCAGGTGGGGAAAGGGCTATGGTTTTAAATAGAGTGTTCAGGACAGTCCTCTGACAAAATAAAGGTGACTTCTGAAGTCTTAAAATCTGAGGCCTCCAGTCATCTTGCCAGAGAACAAGTTCAGGATCCTCAATCAGACAGCTGTGAAGTTGAATCGTAGCTGTGTCATGCACTGGTTATGTGACCTAAGTCAAAGTTCCCCCACTCTGTGCCTCGGTCCCCCAACCATAACGTGAGATGATGTCTGCTTGTACTGTTATTCTAAGTAATTATTAAGTGAGTTTTAGTGTCTGGCACACAGTCAGCCATCAACAAATGGTAACTACTCTCCGTTTGCTATATTTGCTGCCACTGCTATTTCTCTGAATTAGTGTTTTGATAGTAGCATGGATGATGTTAGGGTAAAGTACTTGGTTCTGCTATTGGTTTGCCATGTGAGTGTGGGTAGGTTGTCTTCCTTCACTAGACCATATTTTGCCTTTTCTGTAAAAGAGGATTAGCAATATCTGAGTCTGCCTAACCCACCAGGATGTTGTGGAATTCAAATATAAGCGGGTTTGAGGAAGTGTGTAATATTGAACGATACTATCATCAACTCATTATTCTTAAATTATATAGTGGGGTTCATCCATTGGTTCATATCTCAAGTAATGTTATGATCATGAAATCAGCTCTGCCTTACAGGAGAAAAACATGGGAAAAGTCTGAATGCATCACATTCAGATTTTCCTACTGACTTGAATTATGAATGAAAATCACAAAGTTTTTCACCTCTCAAGTACACTGGAATTGTGTTTTTGTGAGAAAAATGTAATCCCAATAATATATTTCACAACTAAGCTTTTAAGAGGACATATTGCATGGAACAATTTGAATTTTTTTCCAAAATGATTAGTTCCAGGCAGGAAGTCAACTGATATACTATAAAATGTATTCCCATGCAGTTAGATTCATATGCGATGAAACAAGTGTGTTTTATAGGCCGGCTGGCCTTTGAAATGCCATCTACAGAAGCAGAAGACTATAGTTTCCATACAAAAGGCAAAAGAAGAATATATTCCAAAGAGCACCTCAATTTGCCACTTCCAGGAAGCCTTCTCTGACTAACCGTGAACTAAATGTGCTAAATGCATTCTGATGCAATATCATATTAAACTTAGCTTTGTTCTCTATTCACAGATTACTATTACTTCTTTTGTTTCTCTCTCTAGATGCTTGGTAACATGTTTCTTACTCATAAAAGTAATTATTTTTATTTTGGTGAAGGAATATCTTTTAAACATCAAAGCATTTGGTTATTTATTATTCTTATAATTGTTGTCTATTCCACAAAGGGTTTTCACTAAGGCAGTTAGCACCTGATTTGTTTATTTGTTTCACTGTCTGAGGGGGAAATACCCTTCATTTGAACTCTTTAATCTGTCTGAAGAGTTAAGTTGCCGTTATCCCATATAATCTGCATCTTTGTAGTGTCTACCTTTTTATTTAAGTAGAAGCAAGAATATAGGTCTACTGGACTTGATAGTCTTGAGACCGCTTGGAGTTTTCAGTGGGCTTAATGGCCTACATTAGAGCTGAGATTTTAAGTTTTAAAGAAAACAACAAGCTGAGTCAGCACTAGATAACTCTAAGCCTGCCTCTTATAAGTCTTCCCTCCATGCCTGTGGTTAGATTTCCAACATCAAGATGGATCCCTTGGTCTCTTCCGAGAGTCAGATGTTTGTTTTCTTTTCTCTTACAATAAAAATGACAGTGAATTTTAGAGGTTGTGAGCAGCTGAGGAGTTTCAGCGTTGGGGCCAACTTCATCAACTTAACCGCAGAATGGTTCCCATACAAGATGACCAGGAAGACACATAGGTCTTGCCAAATAGGTCTTTAATAACAATCAAAGTGGAGTATGTGTTGGAGATTGAAATATCCAGCATTCTGGATCTCAGCTATAGGGGCTTAGCCAGCATTGAGATGTACATGTGAACATCTCATAAATGGATCTGGTCTTCATCCCTCTCTGCATTCCAGTTGTTCCTAGTTCAGAAACAATTGTCAGGATTCTGCTGAACTCAGATGCTAGTTTTTAGTTTCATATTCAGTACTAGATTTTAAAATTCCCATCAATGAACTGACTTAAAGCAAACAGATACATAGATTCTTAAGCTGGGCAGGTAGCCTGTTTTATAATATCATATAGTCTAAGAATTAGAAGGAACCTTACCATTCAGTAGCCTCATTTGGTACATGAGAAACTGAGACCTAGAAAGACCAAATGACTTCTAGAGTTTGCACACTTTTAACTGGGAAGACACTGGAAATGCCGATCACTTGAGAGGATGTACCAGAGCCTCATCATATTTGTTACCCCTTTACTTAAACAGTAATTTGTCACAGTGATGATGGTAACAACATTTACTGGGATGATCATTTTGATGTTTATAAATGAGAGGTAGCTATTATTAAAGTCCTCAACGAAATATAGTTACACTTGTACAAATCCCACATATTTCCTACATTGTGAAATTATCTAGTTTTCTTCATAGTCTTCCAATAGGAAGCCAAATCTTTGAATAAAAAAGTTTTACATTTAACTTCAACAATGAAATATGTAGATTTGGAGATGTTTCCCTTTGACTCCATCAATATTTTGAGTATTAGCTATAATTATATACTAATTATGACAGATTTATGTTGGATACTCAGGCGTGTGCCAACCTTATTAGTGACCCCAGACCACTCTGCCGCTACAAACATAGAATCACCAAATTAAGAACCAGAGTTCAAAACATCAGCTCTCATTGGCACCACCAACCCTTAGTACTGTCTCCTAGTTTATGCTCTTTGATAACCTTCAGAGCAAATCATTTAACTTTCCCACACTGATTTCATCTCTATAAAATGGGAAATAATAGCTCTTTACAGGATTGTTACGAGGGTAAAATGAAATCATGGTTATGAAAGTACTTTATTCTCTTGAACTATGTATTAATCTCTTAGTTTCTGAACCAACATGAAAGCTTCACAAAGAAATTCTTGAACATCTTTGATTTCCACAAAGTGTTTGTTGTTGTTGTTGTTGTTGTTGTTGTTGTTGTCGTTTTTGCCAGGGAAGGGGTGTCCTTAAAACATTAGTATGTCCATTCCTAAAATTATTTGAAAATGGTGATCTCTATACCATCCTTGTTTTTCAATATTTATAGAATTCCATAGCTTCCTCTAATGATATATTTTAGTAATTAATCTTACATTGGTTTATATGGTCTGTAAAATAAGAGTTTCCATTTTCAAAATGCCCATATTTACATTGCCTGTAAATTACATTTGTTCGTGGAAAGGTAGGTCAGCACCTTGACAGAGAGCCAAAAATCTACCTTTATTGTCTGAGATTCTTTCTTCTGGTGCCTGTCAAGGAAGTAACCACTCTGATAAACTTTCCAATTGCTTTCTAAACTTGCCCCACAACTTTCAGAAAATCAGCATGACCTGCCAGTATTCTTCCTCTCTTTAAATGTCACAGTCTCACTTTGAATTATAAATAATTTCTGTGCTTGTTCCCTTCTCTGTAAGATGTATAAGATCGTTCCTCTTCTGCCTTTTTGATAGATATTTCTTAAGAATAATGAAATAATGGCTCTTCCCTGAGCGCTTTATGGGGAGGGGGGTCTGGAGGGGAGGGTTTGTGACAGTTCAGCAGACACTAGTCTGTTGAAACGTCCTGGAGCCAAAAGCCATCAGTTGTAATTTGGTCACTTTGGCGAAGATCATAGCTGTAATTCTCAAATTCCAGACTTGGTGTCTCAGTTTAGTGAGGAGGGGAGAAGGGTGGAAGGAGAACATTGTTTGGGAGCCTGAACATAAATTTATAGGGTTCATAACCTGTTGCCTTCCAAGTTTATATGATTTCAGCTTTTGTGTACAAAGATCATTTCTCTGGCTGCCTTGGTATAAGGTATATGCATTATATTTTTCCCCCAGGAATGGGGATGAATTTGCAAACTCCTTTATATTTCTCATGTGTTTGTAAAATGAGCAGGGAGTTTAGAGGCTATCATCTATAGAAATGAGTGAGATAAATTGACCGTATGTTGATTGCATCAATATATGACTTCGAGGTCGTTCATTAGTATTATGTCCAGAGTCCTTGAATAATAAATAGCTGGAATGATCAAGACCTTCCTGTTCTTCAGCTTAAAGGCCCCGGAATGGTCAAATCTACTGAAAGCAAACAGGAGCTTTTAGTTCTTGACAGGCACCAGTTTACGAAAATTCTGCCTTGTAAATTTTATTTGGAAATCAGATGACCCAAAAAGTTTAGTTGTACTATTACTTTATTTACTTATTGGGGAGGAAAAAAAAGGTGGTTAGAATTTCTTAAATATGGATATCAATGATTCTTTCAGAATGTTGAATCTGAATATTATTTTTGGAATTCAACACTGTTTCTC